TCTTCTTTCACGAAATCGCAAGAAGAAAAAGATGGTAACGAAGATAAAATATTTTAGGTGTTATTTTATTAAGTAATGAGCGTTAACCCCCAAAGATATTATAGAAACAGTCCTATTAATTACACAAACATCATCTATAGAGTTTCAACATGAAGGAACATCGTTCCGGTCTAACGCGTTTTCCTCACTAAATTTAATTAATAATTTGATACAATAATTAAACATAATAAATAAAATTAACACAAATTTCATCTTGAAATTAAACTATTCGACCGGAAATATCATGCTTGGGCAATTTTGAGCTGAATAATATGTAAATAAAACGTAATATTGTTTGTTATAAGAACATTCAAGTAGGTATTTAATGCTGGGTAATCGATGTCGAAGCTTTAGCTCTGCTATCGATTAGAATTTATACGTTTCAATTCTCGGCCACTTCGGAATCTCGTGCTACGTGCTTTTAACGAAAAAATTAAATCGACCCACTTCTTTCTAATATAAATTCCGCGATATTTTTGATTTTTATTAAGAGAAATGAAATTATAAAATCTAAAACGCTATTCTAGATGAAAATAAATCAGTATCCAAGTCATGTTATCAAGTATGCAAGTTCTTGGAAACAATTTCCTTAATAATGGGGCTTTCATTTCTTGTCGTTCATCCGTACACAATTTACAGTCATGTATTCCTTAACTAGAGCTTTACCATTATCTTTTGTTGAAAGAGTTTTATTCCTATTCGTTTGTGTTAATAACAATATTCAACATTGTTTACGAATTGTCACCACTCCAGATAATGGCGAAAGTAAATCTCGGTTGTCTTACAAAGACAGTTTGTGTAGCGAAGTTTCCGAACCCACAAAAACAAGCAAGTTGTTAATCGGCAACTCTGGTTACTTTGCACGGTTCGTTTACATTTAAGATGGACTTTCGGTTAAAACCGGATTCGTATTCTCTTTCATTTAATTAACTTTTCTTATTTAGATTTATTTATTAGATATTTACACAATATTACAAAAAGATGAAATAAACTCGGTACCCCATTACCAGATTTCACATCGCACAAAGGGGTTTCCAGCTTCGATTCGCATTGTAATGTATTGAACAATCTTTCGTCCGCAGAAATTCGTCAGTTGATTTGTGTCGAAGTGGCGTGTACAGATTGAGACCATTGCTTTCCTTACTTCGTCTTCGAGAACGCACTTAGACCAAGAAACTTTTTACTTTAACATCTACAATCAGACTGAATTCATTCAAACGATACAAATTGATTTAAAAGTGATTTTGTTACTTTTTACCATAAATTGTGTTTCATCTTGGTTAATCAAAACGTTTTTAATTCTTTTAATATCTTAATAATTAGATGTTACAATTACCCTAACATTTATGTTTAAGGTTATGCATAATTACTTCATAAATCTGAAATTTGAAGATTTGACGAAATAATCTTTAACTTATTAAATACTAAGTAAATTTGCTTTAAATTGCTTTTTATTTCATAATGATATCTCAATTCGTTCTTGAGATATGATTTCTTTAAATTCTATATTTTAAATCTAAAAAATCGAATATGCAGAGTTTCATTTAAAAAACCATAAAAACGATGTTTATGGAAAATAAGAAATTATTTATGGCACATTAAATCTTCATCAAATTTGCTTTAAAATGATCTTTATTTCATGATGATATCTCAATTCGTTCATGAGATACGATTTTTTTAAATTTATATTTTAAATCTAAAAAATCGAATATGAAGAGTTAGATTTAAAAAATCATAACAACGATGTTTATGGATAATAAGAAATTATTTATGACACATTCCCCTTTCGTTAAATTTGCTTCAAAATGTTCTTTATTTCATCATGATATCTCAATTCGTTCTTGAGATACGATTTTTTAAAATTGATATTTCATATCTACAACAATCAAACATGCAGAGTTGGGTTTAAAAAACCATAAAAACGATATTTATCGAAAATAAGAAATTATTTATTGCGCATTAAATCTTCATCAAATTTGCTTCAAAATGATCTTTATTTCATGATGATATCTCAATTCGTTCATGAGATACGATTTTTTTAAATTTATATTTTAAATCTAAAAAATCGAATATGAAGAGTTTGATTTAAAAAACCATAACAACGATGTTTATGGATAATAAGAAATTATTTATGGCAGATTCACCTTTCGTTAAATTTGCTTCAAGATGTTCTTTATTTCATTATGATATCTCAATTCGTTCTTGAGATACGATTTTTTAAAATTTATATTTCATATCTATAACAATCAAACATGTAGAGTTGGGTTTAAAAAACCATAAAAATGATGTTTATGGAAAATAAAAAATTATTTATGGCACATTAAATCGTCATCAAATTTGCTTTAAAATGATCTTTATTTCATGATGATATCTCAATTCGTTCATGAGATACGATCTTTTAAAATTTATATTTCATATCTATAATAATCAAACATGCAGAGTTGGGTTTAAAAAACCATAAAAACGATATTTATGGAAAATAAAAAATTATTTATGGCACATTAAATCTTCATCAAATTAACTTTAAAATGATCTTTATTTCATGATGATATCTCAATTCGTTTCTGAGATACGATTTTTTAAAATTTATATTTTAAATCTAAAAAATCGAATATGAAGAGTTTGATTTAAAAAACCATAACAACGATGTTTATGGAAAATAAGAAATTATTTATGGCACATTAAATCTTCATCAAATTTGCTTTAAAATGATCTTTATTTCATGATGATATCTCAATTCGTTCATGAGATACGATTTTTTTAAATTTATATTTTAAATCTAAAAAATCGAATATGAAGAGTTTGATTTAAAAAACCATAACAACGATGTTTATGGAAAATAAGAAATTATTTATGGCACATTAAATCTTCATCAAATTTGCTTTAAAATGATCTTTATTTCATGATGATATCTCAATTCGTTCATGAGATACGATTTTTTTAAATTTATATTTTAAATCTAAAAAATCGAATATGAAGAGTTTGATTTAAAAAACCATAACAACGATGTTTATGGAAAATAAGAAATTATTTATGGCACATTAAATCTTCATCAAATTTGCTTTAAAATGATCTTTATTTCATGATGATATCTCAATTCGTTCATGAGATACGATTTTTTTAAATTTATATTTTAAATCTAAAAAATCGAATATGAAGAGTTTGATTTAAAAAACCATAACAACGATGTTTATGGAAAATAAGAAATTATTTATGGCACATTAAATCTTCATCAAATTTGCTTTAAAATGATCTTTATTTCATGATGATATCTCAATTCGTTCATGAGATACGATTTTTTTAAATTTATATTTTAAATCTAAAAAATCGAATATGAAGAGTTTGATTTAAAAAACCATAACAACGATGTTTATGGAAAATAAAAAATTATTTATGGCACATTAAATCTTCATCAAATTTGCTTTAAAATGATCTTTATTTCATGATGATATCTCAATTCGTTCATGAGATACGATTTTTTTTAATTTATATTTTAAATCTAAAAAATCGAATATGAAGAGTTTGATTTAAAAAACCATAACAACCATGTTTATGGATAATAAGAAATTATTTATGGCACATTCACGTTTCGTTAAATTTGCTTCAAGATGTTCTTTATTTCATCGTGATATCTCAATTCGTTCTTGAGATACGATGTTTTAAAATTTATATTTCATATCTACAACAATCAAACATGCAAAGTTGGGTTTAAAAAACCATAAAAACGATATTTATGGAAAATAAAAAATTATTTATGGCACATTAAATCTTCATCAAATTTGCTTTAAAATGATCTTTATTTCATGATGATATCTCAATTCGTTCATGAGATACGATTTTTTTTAATTTATATTTTAAATCTATAACAAGCAAGCATGCAGAGCTGGATTTAAAAAATCAGAACAACGATGATTATACAAAATAAGATGAATCATTTAATAATTAAATCAAACATTTTGAATTAAATAGATAAAATTACTAAATGCAACTTAACAAAGTAAATAGAAGAAGCAATGAACTTTGACGTGAAATCGTTAAAGTTACGATAGGTATTAAGACGGATTAGGAAGGGTTCAAATTGAAACTGACAAAGGCAAAGGTGTTATATTAAGTTAAATTAAGGGAAAACCCTCTGACTCCATCAATAAATTCTTGTTGTGTTTTCCAATTTATACTGAATGGGATACTCTCTTTCCCCTTTGGGTTTTAAACCGAAACGTTTTAAATCGTTTGACAAAAAAAGCAACGTTAAAAAATCCGTGACGGTAAATTTCCATACATTTAGTTGGATGTTGAGAAAAAAAATCCCTTGTTTGTGTCCGTTGAACTTGTTTATCGTCTATTTAGACGTGTTGATTGAAAAAAAAACCCTTAATCAATAATATATCAGTCGGCGAACTCTTTCAGCTTTAGACTTGGTCCTCAATGTGAGAAGATTATTGCCAATTTACGATCGAATCGTAATACTTCTATAATTTTTTTGTCAACGTTTCAGAATATGAGACGAGTCGAAACACGTTTAACGGGATGACATTGAGCTTTCCGTCTGGAAACTTTTCCTTAATTAATTTCTTACGTAAGTTTGACGCTAAAAGTTTATTACGTTGTTGCTAATTGGCTTCGTTAGAGTGTTTCTAGGTAAGAAACTTAAATTAAATAATGAAGGGGATATGTTAAAGTTTTACAAGAAATTGCAATTACTAAAATTAAATGTTGGAAAATTAAAAGATCGAAGAATTAATAACGCAACAAGAAACTTAATTTTAAATGGAAAAATTATCGTTATGCGTTGGAGAGAGCAACAGTTAATTATCTTGTCTATAATATGAAATATCTAGATGGGTAATCGAATCCACGGTTATTAGGTATTGATTGGCTATCAGTCAAATAGATTGTAGCTGACACAAATTTCAATTTCTAGATATTTTATATCGTTGCTTTCTAAGCTAATCAAAAACTGATTGATGCTACAAAATTAATACATATTTATTTAAAATAAAATTTGAATACACTTTTTCTTCACAATTATTATAGTACTAAAATATTAAAGAACTGAAGTGTTACAATAATTGCAACATTCGCGTTTTTCTATGATTCCATTACAGTTACGGATTGGGCGACATATTTTACGTTGTCTTGATAATATCCATCTACCATTTACTTGAGTACATATCACTTTATAACATTTATCTTCAGTATACCAAACATCTCCTAATTGTTTAATTTCGTTGTTATACATACAACCCATTGCAGTACATTCTCCGCAACAATGAGTAGTCGATGGAGTGTAATTGAAACCCTAATTAAAAAAATATTATTATTAAGAAAATTAGTACGAAAAATATAAATAAAATATAATATACAGTGTTCGTCAAAAAGTCAGCAACACCCGTTTTTTTCTGTTTCATTACAACTACGTTTCTGAAATTTAGTTTGTATGGGAGGTTCATACCGATCTTTCGATCTAATGTATTTTCAAGATTGTGGCCACTTCCGGTTAATCGGAAGTAGACCACAACTTCGTTATTTTTCAATTATATGCGAAAAAATAAGTTGATTTTGATAAAAGTTAAATTTGTCTTGGTAATTTTCACCATGATCTTTAAAACTACATATCTAAAGCTCTAAATTGGCACGATTACTCATCAAATGTTGTCAAATAGATTGTCATTGGCTGTATTACAGTATCTTATACAGGTTGGTTTTTCCGTTTTTCCGTATTCAATGGCGAAAAGAAATTCGAAAATTTTAAATGGAACGACCCATATTTTTGTAACCTACCTCAGAGAGAATTTAATTCTCTACAAATTATCCGTAAACATGTCTATACCTCTTTATTGTAGTTTCCCTGATATTGGGAAATTTTTCAAAACATGCACGGAATGCCAAAAACTTGTTTTGACCAGCCTGTATAAGATACTCTATAAGATATAACAAATGACAATCTATTTGGTATTATCAAAAGAGTAATCGTGCCAAGTTAGAGCTTTCTTGAATGAATATTGCCTGAGAAAAAACTTAAAATCAAAATAACTCAAAAAATGCTAAACACTTTTATCAAGGTCAACATATTTTTTTGCATATAATTAAAAGGTGCAATAAATATTATAGCATTCCATTTAAAATAACGGAGTTAAGATCTACTTCCGGAGGGCCGGAAGTGGCCACCCATAAAAACTAAATTTCAGAAACGTAGATGCAATGGAACAGAAAAGGTGTTGCTGACTTTTTGGCTGACACTGTATATGATATGAACTAAAACTAACATCAGATCTAAAACTAGAAATATTCAGATTTAGTCATCTTACGAAACGGACGGCTAAACCCGAATGTTTCTAGTTCTAGATCTAGTGTTAGTGTTCAGCCTTAGGTTGTTATAAATTTTTATTTAACTAAAACTAGAACTAACACTAGAACTAGAAACATTTGGATTTAGCCGCACCTCGTTCAAGACGGCTAAACCTAAATGTTTTTAGTTCTAGGTCTTGTGTTAGTTCTAGTAATAGTGCTATTGTAAAACTATTATTCAGCGCTAGATTGTGAGAATATCTTTATTGAACTAAAAATGGAATTAACACTAAATCTGGAACTAGAATCATTCGGCTTTGAAGAGACGTACGGCTAATCCCGAATATTTCTAGTTCTTGATCTAGTGTTACTTCTAATGTTTGTATTAGCTCTAGTTTTAATTATTATTCANTTTATTGAACTAAAAATGGAATTAACACTAAATCTGGAACTAGAATTATTCGGCTTTGAAGAGACGTACGGCTAATCCCGAATATTTCTAGTTCTTGATCTAGTGTTACTTCTAATGTTTGTATTAGCTCTAGTTTTAATTATTATTCAGCGTTAGATTGTTACACATTTTTATCGAACTAAAACTAGAACTAACACTAGAAGTTCTAGGTTTAGAACTAGTTATTATATATACAGGGTGAGTCAGAAAGAATGGGAAATCGGAATACCTAACATGTCTTATACAAATGTCGGTGGTTTTTAATACACAGGGTGTTAAAAGTTAAATTTTTATTTCGAAATTTCTTGATAATTTTGAAGGTTTTTGTACTATTAACATAAAATTTGGTAGTTAGATGTATTCNTAGCATTCCATTTAAAATAACGGAGTTAAGATCTACTTCCGGAGGGCCGGAAGTGGCCACCCATAAAAACTAAATTTCAGAAACGTAGATGCAATGGAACAGAAAAGGTGTTGCTGACTTTTTGGCTGACACTGTATATGATATGAACTAAAACTAACATCAGATCTAAAACTAGAAATATTCAGATTTAGTCATCTTACGAAACGGACGGCTAAACCCGAATGTTTCTAGTTCTAGATCTAGTGTTAGTGTTCAGCCTTAGGTTGTTATAAATTTTTATTTAACTAAAACTAGAACTAACACTAGACCTAGAAACATTTGGATTTAGCCGCACGTCTTTCAAGACGGCTAAACCCAAATGATTCTAGTTCTAGCTCTTGTGTTAGTTTTGGTGATAATGCTAGTGCAAAACTGGAACTAACACTAGACCGAGAACTAGAAACATTTGGATTCAGCCGCACGTCTTTCAAGACGGCTAAACCCGAATGATTCTAGTTCTAGGTCTTGTGTTAGTTCTAGTGATAGTGCTAGTGTAAAACTAGAACTAACACTAAACTAACACTAGACCTACATAAAAACATTCGTCTCTCAAGGCGGCTAAACCCGAATGACTCTAGCACTAAGTCTTGTGTAAGTTCTAGTGATAGTTCAAAACTGGAACTAACACTAGACCGAGAACTAGAAACATTTGGATTTAGCCGCACCTCTTTCAAGACGGCTAAACCTAAATGATTCTAGTTCTAGGTCTTGTGTTAGTTCTAGTAATAGTGCTATTGTAAAACTGGAACTAACACTAGACCGAGAACTAAAAACATTTGGATTTAGCCGCACGTCTTTCAAGACGGCTAAACCCGAATGATTCTAGATCTAAGTCTTGTGTTAGTTCTGGTGATAATGCTAGTGCAAAACTGGAACTAACACTAGTCCGAGTGCTAGAAACATTTGGATTTAGCCGCACGTCTTTCAAGATGGCTAAACCCGAATGATTCTAGTTCTAGGTCTTGTGTTAATTCTAGTGATAGTGCTAGTGTAAAACTAGAACTAACACTAAACTAACACTAGACATACATAAAAACATTCGTCTCTCAAGGCGGCTAAACCCGAATGACTCTAGCACTAAGTCTTGTGTTAGTTCTAGTGATAGTTCAAAACTGGAACTAACACTAGACCGAGAACTAGAAACATTTGGATTTAGCCGCACGTCTCTCAAGACGGCTAAACCCGAA